AAGTAAAGTAATTTTCGCGGTTCCCATCTTTCCTTGGGAGAAAGGTGCGGAAGTGGATATATATGCGCTGATAGCGTCAAAAGCTCCGGATCCCCCCACAAATCGTAGAGGGGGTCTTTCCTTCGTCGCCTTTTCTATCCGTCATCGTCGAGAGATTTCCGGGCCTCGTGGCAAAAAAAGACCACCCGCGAAGAGCGAAACGAAAGAGCACATCGAGCTAGATCGAGGAGAAAACTGGAATTCATGTGGAAGAGAAGGCACGCATTAAAAAGAACAGGGCTTGCAATAGGTTTGTCGTGATTTTTAATACGAGGTCCGGAAATCTCTCAAATTGAACTAGGATCGAGGAGAGATTGGAATACATGTGAAAGAGACTGATTTGCAAGGAGCTATCCACGACCCCACCACCCCCACCTCCCCACCAAGGAAAATAACACGGAACGACAGAAGAGAATCCACAAACGGAAGAGATGTGGTCATGTTTTGGAAAACATAACATAACATGGAACTAAGCAGCCACCTCCCACAAAAGATATCAAAAGAAAAAAAAAATCGCCAAGTTCAAACCCAGTTGCCCCGCCCCCATTTTATATTGCACAATACAAAATCCTTCGCCTGTGGCATCCGTCAATCCCCTCCCCAGTTCTCTTAACCCTGTGGCCTGCTGCTGCTGCTGCTACATGGGTCAAAGTCGCGATCGCTTCGCATGCTTATACCTCGTTCGCAGCACCTCAGGGCGCACATGATGGCCGTTCCATTTCTCTACTTTTTCTCTTTTTCTTTTTTCGGTTCCCGGAAGCAAATTTGGAACGGAAGTCCGTTAGGCAACGCAGATTTTATTTTTCTAATTCCGGAATAAATTTTTAGTCCAGAAATAAGTTTGGAACAGAAATGAGAAGTAAAAAATTTTCTACTTTTCTATATCTGAAACAGAAACGAGAAATAAAAACTCTTCTCATCGCTCGCTCTCATCTTCCGCCCGCACGCCGCCCGTCGATAAATGGAGAAGAGCGTAAGAGGGAGAAATTTTGTGCCGTTTTCAAAAGCGTATCTCTGCACAGAAACTCATGCAAGGAATATAAATAGAAAAACATATTTTCGAAACAGAATGGTTACCATTCGCGCCCTTAGATGCTAGATAATTTGACGTCTCCACGTGATTTGTCACGGACGGCGACCTTGCAAAAGAGCCTCCAGACCGAAATGAAAAATGCTTGCGAAAATATCCCGGCCATCCGTCCAAAGCGACCCTCCAGATCGAAATGAAAAGCATGCCGAGCAAGATTGAGTAGCAACTTAAACTTTCGATGGAAAGATGATAGGAAAAAGGAATTTGAACGTAAATTACAGCTTGAAGCAACATCACGTCATTTTCATATTAAAATACTAGTAGCTGTCTGAGCAGTGCCAAAACCCCACACACCCCTCCCGCCCCTCCATCTTTTTTTATTATTATTATCGGCTATGTAAGCACTCCCTCCTTCACCGCCCTACGGTAACTCCGTTCCTTCTCTCTATTATCTCTCTCTCATCAGCACCATCTATCATCAAACCAGACCCAAGGCACCCTTTCGTTCCAACCCACTCGGTATCAGTCCAGACTTGTGCTCCTCCCTTCTTCACTTCCTCTCCTAATTCTCAATCTAGAAAAGCCCACCCATCTCCTTCTCCGCCAAAGCGCACAGACCACGGAAGGACCCGCGAAGGGATAAAATGGTGGCTGAGATTGTCGACAAGTTATTCGCATTACGGACGGCACTATCAGGGGCCGTGGTCAGACCGGAAGAGCTTAATCCTGGGGATCATATTTACACTTATCGGCGGTTTGGCCTGTACTCACACCACGGTTAGCCATTCGTCCTCTTTTTCCTTTTCCATTATCGTTATCGTTTTCTCGCGCAACATGGTTACCTGCTGGACTGAATCATTATTTGTTATCTTTCATTTTGCCAAAGGACAGTAGCTCTATGTGCTTTGTATGATAGTTCAACTCAGCGATTATCAAATCTTGCCCACCAAATCAAAATTATTTTATCATCGTTTCTTTCGCTTGTTTTTCTTCTTGTTTTTTCTCCCTTTCGTCTCCTTCTTTCGGTTATGCCATGGCAGAGCACCATCAACCCAGCCATGAGATCATCTTAACCCCGTTTGGTGGCCTTTGGGATGCTGCCGCCGACGGGGATGTTGTGGAGGGCACTGCCGGCGGTCCTGTGGCCATGGCAGCTCTTGCAAAAGTGTGCTACTAAAAGACGTCGTAGTTGTTGTAGTAGCAGAACTTGGTGCTGGTGGAATCGCAGCGAGGGCATTTCAGCTGCTCTTGCTCTGGGAGCTGAGGCCTCGTCGTTTTTCTCTTCTCTTTCTTGTTTTTTTCCCTTTCGTCTCCTTCTTAAAGTTCTGCCATGACAGAGCACCATTAACCCAGCCATGAGATCAACTTAACTCCGTTAGGTGGCCTTTGGGATGCTGCCACAGACGGAGATGTTGCGGAGGTCACTGCCGGCAGTCCCGTGGCCACGGCAGCTCTTGCAAAAGTGGCGCGACTAAAAGAGGTTGTAGTTGTTGTAGTAGCAGAACTTGGTGCTAGTGGAATCGCAGCGAGTGCATTTTAGCTTTTCTTGCTCTGGGAACTGAGGCCTCGTCGTTCTCGGTGGGGCTCACCCACGCTAATTTGTATACCTTCTTCGTTAATACATTTCCACATCCGCGCATCCGGCCTCCCGACCCAGGCCTCATCCTCTCCTTCACCGGCTCTCTGTCTCACCGAGTCCTCGACGACGAGTTCTCGAGGACTTTGAACACCAAGAAGCTGATGCCATTCCCGGTGGGGCTCACCCACACTAATTGGTTTACCTTCTTCGTTCTTCCATTTCCACAGCCGCCTATCCGGCCTCCCCGTCCTCCGGCCTCGTCCTCGCCTTCACCGTCTCTCTGACTCACCAGGTCCTAGGCGAGCTCGAGTACTTGGAACCCTAGAAGCTGATGCCGTTTTTGGTGGGGCTCACCCACACTAGTTTGTTTACCTTCTTCCGTCTTCCATTTCCACAGCCTCCCATCCGGCCTCCCCGTCGTCGGCCTTATCCTCGCCTTCACCGGGTCCTCGACGAGCTCTCGAGTACCTCGATCGCTGAGAAGCTGATGCCGTTCCCAGTGGGGCTCACCCACACTAATTTGTTTACCTTCTTCGTTCTTCCATTTCCACAACCGCCCATCCGGCCTCCCTGTCCTCGGCCTCGTCCTCGCCTTCACCGTCTCCCTGACTCACCGGATCCTCGAGGACTTTGAACGCCAAGAAGCTGATGACGTTCTCAGTGGGGCTCACCCCCACACACACACTAATTTTTATAGCCTCTGTTGTTGTCCATGTCCCCCCCTCCCGCTCTCTCTCTCTCTCGACGCTAGTAAACAAAAAAATGGTGAGATGAGAAGCTGGTTTTTCCCCCGGACAATTCGAGCTATTGGTATCAAATGATAGAAAATTATCCGATTTACGTGGTTTCTCCTATTTTTTTCCTTCTTCCTCGACATCTTTCCTCCTTCAGTCGTCTCTCTCTGAATATTCTTCTTCGCATTTCCCTATTGATAAGTTTGATTACGTGGTAACTATTTGCTATGGGTGATTTGGACAACCGATTCTTTTTCTTTATTTCACATGCTAACTATCGACTCTAATAGGAATCTACGTTGGATGGGGCCACGTCATTCACTTCACAAGAACAGGAGTCGACAAGACGTGTCTCGATTGCTTCCGGCGAGAAGGTGGGAAACTCCATTCCCTCCGTTCATATGCGTATGGGCGGCCGCTGCTGGAGTATTGGCTGACTAGATCGGGGACCCGCACGGCCTTGCCCGATACCAAACCGCCCGAGGAAGTCGTAAACAAGGCTTGGGAGCTTCACGAGGGAGATAGTTTCGGCGAATACAATCTCTTCAGCAACAACTGCGAGCACTTTGCCACTTTTTTCAAGACCGGCAATCGAGCAAGCGCACAGACAGCATTAATCAATGCTTTTGAGCTGAAGGCCATGGGAGTCAAGGACTGGGCAATCAAGATTCTGCAGGGAATTAAAGCTCAAGTGAGCCAAGAACCCGTCCAACTTGCCTTCCTCCATCCGTCTCCTCGCTAGCAATCATTATCGTCTTTTTGAGAGAGTTACTGTTTGTCAAGGAGCAGTAAAAGGAAAGGGAGTTTAGTCTTTTATGTCCAATTTAATAAACGGTGAAATCACACTTTGTTACCCACGTATAATGAGACAGCCAACTATCTCTCTTTTTGTTGACAATTTTGTCACATGTTCCCTTTCCATTTATGATTTTTATTCGTGCAGCATATTTATGCTTTAGGCCGTCGCAGCGTTAAATGACGAGGAGACCCGTTTACCGCATTTTCAATGAGGTTCGATTTGGGTATTTCGCGGGTAGGTGATGTGATGGGACACGTGAGCCCCACACGACGAAAGAAGATATATCTATGATTGGGACAGCTTTTTGAGACTTTCCTGTCCCACTTGTGACAGTCAGAGAAATGTCCGGCCCGTACGTACGGGGGGATCTTAATTGTTAAGTATACGAGGAACATTCCACCAAATCAGATCTTGACCGCCGATATTTAGTGATGTCCGGTCCCGTCAGGATGTCTTTTGCTGTTGTAATTTTTTATGTCGAGGTCTGAGTATTTGGAATCTCTAAATACGAAGAAATCGTTTTAAAATAATTAACATATTTTATCTGGCCTTCCAAACCCAGCTCGCCTTACTGTGTGGTTATAAGGCGTCACCCGCACGAACCGTTGGCAGGTTTGGGCGGCGACTCGGGCTCGGAGAGCAAACTTGATTGTTGGGCAGGCTAGAGTCGCTCGACGAAATTCTTAAGCGCGGAGAACTGGGCTGCTTTCGGCCCAATCATGATGGCATAGGCTTACTCTCTCTCTATCACACACACCTACACAAGCACAATCAACATGGGCACATTTTGAACTCAAGGCACGGATGGGTCAGTCCAACTTGTGCTAACAAGCATATCCATTGGCCAAGCTAGTTCATAGAGTACAGAAGACGAATCTGCATTGAGCGGAGGTGATGAATAAAGAATTACTGACCGTGTCCGAGAAAGACAGCCGAGTTGGGATCAATCGTCTAAGAGACAGTGTTTCCTATCAGCTGCAACTACTTCTTTCCAGGGTTTCCACGACTTCATTCATCAATGGCCGGTGCTTGGGCGGAGCGGAGACATTGGAATGCAAGTGCGGCTACGTAAAGAGCATCCTTCAGAGGATATTGCCCTTCCAGTCGAGAGCCCATGATTCTATTCAATTACCTTTTAGAAAGATTAGGTTAGACCCCCTCCACCAAAATCTGCTAATTAGTCGGACAATTTCCATCATACGATTGCATTCCAGTCAAAAGCTCAACCAGTACCATCTCGAAGCTATAGACATCGCCCTTTCACAGATAAATGACCTGTTCAACCAGAATGATGTGATAATCTAGCATGAATTTGCTAAACATGGCTTCAGCCATGGTCAAACTAAGTCCAAAGTGCAATGTTCTCTGCTATGATCACCCCAAGCAATTCAGAAAGCCCATCATATTACCTGTGGCTATGTACTTGGGTGCTGGCGCAGCCATAAGTTCCAATAACCTGTGTCGTCACATGTGCTCTGTCTTCGTCTCGACCTTTTCTTGCCAAACGAAAATCTGATATTTTGGCATTATAGGACTGTCGAAACACATGCCAAACAAAAGGTCAAAGTGAATAAGGTCTCTTTTCTACTGCTAGCGTGATCTATACACCAGTAAACTTGGACAATGCAGATTTAATAAGCTTAGCTCGGGCTAATGACTGGTATTATAAACTACCTATGAAAAGAGTAGCTTGGGAATATGCAATTTTAGACGAGCATAACAACAAAGTCCCCCAACCAAAAAATAATGAAAACATACTTGGGTGGCGAATCAGGTTTTGAAGATGCTTTGCAATGATAACTCTCGTGTTATATGTGAAAACCTGGCCAGAATGAAAGCCTGAACGCATAAGGTTTCAAATTCTTGCTGCTGCCAGAATGCAGGAGGGAATTGCAAAAAGACAGATGTTGCAAACTTATGTGAGTTATTTCAGCACAGGAGACGATTTTGGAACCAAATTTTAAAGGTAACAGCAATGTGGTACTGCTTAATTTAATCTAAGTAACGAACATGAAACTTACTGAGTCCAGCAATATGTTTGAGGGCTTGAAATCTCTGCAGATTATTTGCCTGTCTAACTAGTGCAAGAACATGAGGACTTTGGCTGCTCCTATTGCAATTTTAATCCGTGTGACCCATGGAAGTGGTTTAATGGCCGACGCCCTTTGCAACAGGAAAGAAACATGATTTGTGTAGTACATTGAAACAAGAAAAGATCATATTTACCATAAATTTGAGGCAAGCATGTATATATCGCCCAAGAAAGAAGCTTACTTCCAAAGAGATGGTTCTTTAGGGTACCCTTTGGCTTGAACTCATGGACAAGAAGTAGTTCTTTATCCTCCAAACAGTATCCCATTAGCCTGACAATGTTTGGACGAGATAAGCTGCCCAGGAAGTTCACCACTGACTGCAAAAAGTTATCACTCTCTAATCAAAATAGGGTAAAACCTCATAATTTCACATTTTTTTAGTAGACGAAGCAAACAGGCATCTTCCACAGAAAAAGAGAGGAGACAGAGCGACCAATTTGTGTGATAAGAAATTAAAGAAACCCAGAATGGCACCCTCAGAGCCACCTACAAATTTTAGATGGTAACAAATAATCTGAAATAAAAACTGGGATGAAATATTCAATGATGCATCATCAACCATGTTCAATAGTAAATCCTGACATGTGAACCAAATAGTTGAATTTCATATGCCTTACTGTAAGTACACAGCCTCATATTCATGTAAACCAAGGAGTAAGCCAATCTTAAGTGCTCAATCTATTTATAAAGCAAGTAAACATCCCTCGCATGATTTTGACATCGGCAAAGCCAATTGAGGATAAGATTGATGACTGTATGGGTGACCATGTAGAGTCTAAAACACAGAATCATACAAGCTCTGATATGCAACATGAGAATAGAATGCACTCATCTTGTGTAGTACAAAATAGATGTCCACCTTCCAAGAAAGACAATAGCATCTTGAGTGAAGATCAATTTTGAAAAATTCATATGCTAAATAGACTTATGTGGAGGCTAAGTCCTTCCCTCCTCATCTTTTCCCTTTTAAAACACTTGCATGCTATTAACATGTTGACCTCCATTTACCAGGTGATTCATGAAAAAGAAGATGGCATAATCTTATTCATTCTTCCAAGGATACTTGAAGAAGAATAGTTATGTCCAGTGTCTCCTAAAGTAGCATAAGTTTGGACTCAAACAATTATGTCACCTCACTTTCAGGGCCGGCCAGCATATTTTTCCACAAATAAAATATCCTCACTAAGGATGGTTTAAGTTCCTAGAACAATGTCGAGAAATTCCAGAAGTGGCTATAATGTCGTAAAACTCATATTGGGATTTAATGTTTCAGGTACATTGTAGTGACATCCTCTGAGTTTAGCTTAAAAGGCAAGGATATAAGTCACAATAGTTTCTGATGCAGGACCTAAATTCCTTCTGTAAAATGCAAGAAGACTCCCTACATTTCAAAATTTACAAGCTATTACAAGACTTTTACCATAATATTTATAAACAATGAAGATTCATAAGACATTTCTACTCCACCTCTCAAGAACCTTAGAGATAGAAGCTAAGCTGGCAAAGCTTCTCTCATCCTACTTGTTTCCTCCACTACCATGCTGTTTGGCTGCTGGAAAACAAACACGCATGTAATATGCACCACACAACTTAGACATAACAACTGTAGGACAGGATTGTGGAATCTCAAGATTTAGATCAAGAACACAGGTGTTCACTTGAGGTATCTATAGATCAAATGGTCCTATAATTTACAGCAGCTTGCCTTCTCATCCACACACCCCGAGACGGCCACTCAAATGTGCTTTCCAAAAGAGATATGCCTTAACCATTTGTGTCTCATCACTTTACATCCTGACAACCTGTTCAGCAAATTGGTGAAAACAACTCTTCTCGAAATTTTTTGACTACTTAAATCTCCAACGGTACATGCGTACGGAATCTTAGATGAGCCATGTATTTCACCCAGCACTTTGCCTGCTGTTTTGATTTTGAATAGAGATAAAATAAACACCGGAAAATTAATGACACCAGGCGTAGGATAGACAAATTTTTACTCTTCTATTGCATGTCTGGAAAATACTTACACTAACCCAGAAGTCCTTGAAAACAGAATCTCACAAGATTTTTCAATGTTTTTATGTGGACTTGAAACCATACAACGGAAAAGCAAGCTGACTTTTCTCCAAGCTCTTGCATAGAATTGCTCTTGGTCATAGGACAAGTCATGGACCCTACAATAAAGGACAAAAGGAGCAAGCACTGTCTTTTCTAAATAATTGCAATCCTAACAGAATAATCTGGTCCTCATCATTGATCACACCCCCAGAAATATGTGTTCAGTAGGGCAACGACATATATTCTCGAAAGGAAGAAAGCAAATTGAGATAGTGAGCTTCATATGAAATTAGCCACACAAAACCAGAACAATCCAGCGACAAAAAATGCCACTAACATCTATCATCTCGTTCTCACTTTTCTACAACAAACTATGTATCTGGACACGATTCTTCCCCCACCATCATAATAGAGCTTCTTGCTAAAAACGCAATAGTGATCAACATTAAATACTGCAAAGCACATGCAACCCGAGCTTTCCTGAGAGGAACTAAGATTACCTTCCACTCTTTGAATCCTTGCATGCTCTCTGGGCTCAATTATTGGATGGCAATTGGAGTCATTCTTTTGCTCTGGGAAGACCCCTTCTCATCAAGGCAGCCTTTGAAGACTACCAAAACCACCCTTGCTGAGAAATGTATCAGATCTGAAGCTTCTTGTTGCAACTTTCAGCTATGCAAAACTAAAGACTCTGACTTCTGAAGTGGAGCAACATTACCATTTGGAATAGACTCATTTGACCTCCCTCTCAAGCTCCAGCTCAGGCCAACCTCAGAAGATGATGAACTGCTTAACAGTCACAACTGGTCCTCCTGTGACTACACAAGTGAAGAGAAAAAGTTGAAGATTTGCCGTGAGCTGAAGACAGGAGCTAGAGATGAGCAGGAACTAATTGAGTTATAGAGATGTCAGCAGGTGGGAAAAGAGTAAGTTAGCGAAGTTAGAATCTGAAGTTGTTAGTGGACCTGTGTATGAAGCATATTCCTTCATAATCCGCTTTGTCTGTAAGTTGAGGCTTGCCTGAATTTCAGGATAATTCAGAAAGCGGGAGGGCAATAACTAGTATGACATGCAGAATATATATAAGATGTATAGTTCGGATTCCAGCCCTTGCATTGAAGCTCTGACACAGTGTTAAACATCACTTTAACCCGAACGCTCAAACTGTTGGGACTGAGTCCATCTTGCATATCAAACATGTTCCATAAGTACGGTATGACCACTATGTTGCATTCTCGTGACGAATGCCTTCTTCTTCTCCTCGTTCATATCTGCTCTCTAAATCATTTTATTCTCATTTCTCGTCTCAATTTCTTTCTAATTTTCTTTTGCCTCAGTATACCAGCTAAAGCATCAAAACAACTTAGTCTATTGATCCAATGAAATGCCCAAACCAAATGCTAAGGGTAACAAAGTCCAACCAGAGGAGGAACTAAAACCAAAATTCTGTGACAAAATTTCCTACTTGCTAACTCATATGCAACAAAAACAACCAAATATGATAACTTTGACCCATGGAATCACAATTTGAAGTTCACAATTATCATAAGGTTACAACAAACACCTGCATTCTCAGGGCAAGACCGGCTGGAGATTACATCCTAAAAACGCACAACTCATGGTGAAAAAGACGCAGAAAACAAAACAAGAAAGCAAGAAAGAATTGCAGAAGAAACAAGGAAATTACCAAAACCAAACAAGCAAGACAACTCAAGCCAACGAACTCGAAATTCTATCAATTAAGCGAGAAACGGATATAAAAAGTCGAGTAAACAACTTTCTCAGCTAAGACTCGACTAATTTACACTTATTCATCAACATAAAGAATCCTACGCATCAACGAAAAGCTTACCCATAGCAGAACAGTAATTGTTATCCCCTGTACCAAGCAGCAGCGACCTTATTGTAAAATAAAGTTTTTTCAAAGTACTAAAACAACTTAAATTTGGCCGACCCAAAAGATAGCCCCAGGCAGACGAAAACCAGCGCCAAACATAGTAATCAGTAATCGGTTCCGGCATCGCACGCAAATCTTCAAAAATTCACTCCGACCAAACCGTAACTCTACAAATGTTCATTACTACATGATTTTGGAGCTAAACAACTCCTGGATCGAACCGGCAACCTCAGAATTCAAATAGATCCGAATTCACCACTTTAGCTACGAGAATTTCCTTCGATCGAAACGGATAAAGAGTTTGAATCGTTACCGGGCGCTACGAAACGAAGTTAAATCCGGCCCGTGGAGACTCAAAGCACGCAAGAAACCCTCCTTTTTTCTTTGTTGGTTGAACTCTCTTCTCTTTCTCTCTGGGTGCCGTTGCTTTGCTTTGCTTTGCTTTCTGCTCTTCAGGTTTCTCTGCAGGGAGTGGAAACTGGAAAGAGCCCGTTTTAAATGGGCTGGGCTGAGAGGGCTGATTTGGGTCTCTGGGCTTCCTTTTTTTTCTAAAGCCCAATCGTTACAGGCCCATCGGCAGATATATCTTCTCTCGTCCTCGAAATTCGACTGTCTGAACTTCAGTATAAAAATTTGGCGTCGGGAAATTCTATGGTTATTGAGAAAAGAAAAATTAACATCGGCTGATTTTAAAAAGGTAGTAATTGATAAATGTTAAAAAAAATGACTATGAAATTGTTAATTTTGCTATTGATTAAGGAAAACTACGAGATAATTATATATTCACGGGGTTAAGTACCCAAAGATAGGAAAAGAAAATTTACAATCGATTCACATTATTTATGATATTCCATGAAAATTTATAAAATGTCAGCGAGTTCAACCCTACGAGGCATCGATGTAAATTACAATATTTGAGAGATGATTACTAACTTGTCATTTACAATGACTTAATTACTGAGTGTTAATATATTCAAGTTACGATTACCGATTCTGTGGTCAAGCTACTGTTCAAAAAGGTAAGTTACTAGTCATAAGTGAAACCAAGTTACGACGATTAAAAATAATGACTTGTGTAAATCACAATAGTCAGAAATTGATTAAGTTGACATTAGTTTTATGTTGTTGAGATTTCGAGTTCCCGAATCTTGCGGATCTTTGTACACCATAGTTTGCGTTTTCAACCCTGTATTGTTATTACCATGTTCAATAAACTGTATACAGATTGAGCCTAGATTATTGTGCTTATGTTGTAAATTTGATCCAGCCTCCAATATACTCTTTGTAATTGTGCCTTTTATTCAGAAACAAAACAATGGGACATATCTTATCTGCAACATGAATAGCACCAAATGACACATGTTATTCATTCTGAATGGACAACTGAGCAGCTCTTTGCTTTAAACGACTCCACCAATAACCCAACCGTGTCTCAGAGCTCAAAAATCACTATGAGAACGGACAGAACCGCATGACACCTCCTGGGGGTTGATTGGGGACCGAATACAGCACGAACAAATTCACGACTG